ATATATATATATATATCTCACTCTCTCGTTTGACAATGAATGCCATGGAAATTCCCGAAGGCGCGCCATTATGAGCGCGGTGCGCGCTTTGTGTGATTGAAAATACTCTAATCTCGGCACGCGAAACAAAACCAATTCTGTTGCTGGCAACTCGTACTATCTCTCGCACTGGTTCTCCTCATTGGACGAAAATAAATCGAACATCCTGAGTTCTCATTACTATCAAAAAAATGTTCAAATGGCGTGCTGAAATATGAATCTTATCAGCCCTTCACCTGCCCCAATCATCTGCACCACCTCTATTCTTCTCACACCATTAGTCCGCGGACACTTGGACGGTCCGAGTTTTTATCGCGCACGTCGTCAAGCCCAAGAATGGCCTAGTCTTCATCTGTGCGTTTTCCATCTAGACCCACACTAGTGAGGCCGGCACAGGCAGAGGGGCGCTAGTCGCAGGTTTCATGTGGCCGCTAGAGGGCGCCAGATTATCTAGGTGTGCAGGATTAGAGGGTAGTAACTAGGATCTGAGGGATTAAGGATTACCAGTTAGAAACGTAAACTTCCTCTGCAGTCGTCCACTAGGTGCAGCCACGGACAAAGGAGACAGATTTTTTTTTCTCGTAGCAGGTGAGTTGTGTGTGGTTTCTATTCCAACTATCGAGGTTTATAGTTTTCAAAATTTATCATAACTTTCTTCAACCTAGCTAGGACTGTGGGTGTCTTTCGAAAAGGATTTGTTCAATTTCCTGCCCGTGCAGTGTCATTCATGTTGAGGATAGGATACTTATCCCCATAGCATAGCCTGTGACAACGATATAGCCTAGGCCTGGAGATATACACGTCAGGTACCTTTTGTCAAATGGTGAAAATGGCAGAAAAATTGACACCTACATAGCACCACCACCCCCTTATCCTCCAGATTCTTGTCCCATTGTTTGTTTCTTCTTTCTTACCAAACATATATCGCCCATATTACTCCTCCTTTTTTCCTCTTAAAGATACATCGTTCTTATCTCTCCTCTGTCTTTCCAATCAAACATCTATTGTTCTTATCTCCCCTCCGTCTTTCCTTTCCCTTCAAACATCTATTGTCCTTATCTCTCCTCCTTTCCTATCCAAACATCCATCGTCTTTATCTCTCCCACTTCTTTCATATCAAACAAATTATTATATCGTCTTTACCTATCCCCCTTCTTTTCTATCAAACATCTATTGTCCTTATCTCTCCTCCTTCTTTCTCATCAAACAACTGTCGTTCATATCTCTCCCCCTTCTTTCCCATTGAACATCTATAGTACTTATCTCTCCTCCTTCTCTTTCTTATCAAACACCCATTGTCCTTATTTCTTCTACGTCTTTCCTGTCAAACATCTATCGTCCTTATCTCTCCCTTTTCTTTCCTATCAAAAATTTGCTGCCCTTATCTCTCCTCTTTTCTTTCTATCAAACATCAATCGTCCTTATCTCTCTTCCTTTTTTTACCGACAAATATTTAGCGTCTTTACTTTATCTTTCCCCCTCCTTTCTTAGCAAACATCTATGTCCATATCTCTCCTCCGTCTTTCCTATTAAACATCCTATGTCCTTTCTGTCCTGTTTTTTCCTCTCAAACATCTATCGTCCTTATCTCTACCCCTTTCCTATCAGATATCTATTACCCTTATCTCTCCCCCCTCTTTCCTTTCAGACATCTGCTGTCCTTATCTCTCCTCCTTTTTTCCTATCAAACATCGACCATATCTCTCTTTCTTCTTCCTTATCCATCAAACATATATAGTCCATACCTCTACTCCTTTTTTCTGTTCTTATTGTATGTTTGTTTGTTGTATGTTACTTTATTGTAACACCACTAATCTTTGCCAATTACTTTACTTATTTCTATTGCAAGATATGTGAAACAGATCCGTACGGTTGACAGAAGGGTGTGAGTCCTGATATTCATGCGGAAAGGAATGATTGGACACTTGTAGAACCATGTGTGTGTGTGTGTGTGTGTGTGTGTGTGTGTGTGTGTGTGTGTGTGTGTGTGTGTGTGTGTGTGTGTGTGTGTGTGTGTGTGTGTATGTCTGGCGTGTGTGTGTCTGTGTGTGTGTCTGGGTGTGCCTGTGTGTGTGTGTGTCAATATGTGGCATGTGCGTGTCTGTGTGTGTGTGTTTGTATGTGTGGTATGTGC